AACTTGTTTTTGTTCATTTTGCATTTCTTTTATCATTTTAAATATATTTATATGTGCACCTCCAACTAATGTTTCTCATCTTCAATGCCAAGCTTCTATAGAATTTTGAGTTCGAAGAAAGGCATATTTAACATTATCAGTAACTGACCAAAGTAAAGGTAGAAATAATGATGTAGATCTAACTATATTTCCATTTCTTAATGTACGCCTTACCCTACCATAAACATAATAATTTTCAAACTCTTTCATAATTTCATAAGCTTCAACTGGCATATTAATTTTCAATTCATCAAATACTGCTAAAATATCTTCAGGAGGCAAAAAGGCAAGTGCAAGAATATGTCGAATTAACAAACTAAAAGTTTCATCAATTTCATATTGAGTAGTAAGTCCAAAAGCTTGTACTTTACGATAAATGCTTTAAGCTAAATAAAAATGGCATCCTTTATTTTGAACATCTTGAATTCTGTATAGATAGCATTAATAGCGGCTTTTTTAAAATCTGTTAAAACAAATTGTGGTTGCAGATCAATATTCTATTCATCACTAAAATCAATTAAATCCTGAAATAATTTTTTATAACACTTCTCAGATTTGCTTGACATTAATACATAAACAAGAGGCATAATTTGTGAATTTTTATTTTCTTTAACACATCCATAGATAGTATATAATTGTTTAAAAATATTTGGTACCGTTTTGAAAGTTCCATCCATAATCTAAAAAGAAGACTTTTTTAAGTATTTAACATTAGCAATAGTTGTAAAAAGCAATATTCTGTTATTACTTACTATAGAATCTTTAATCAAAAAATCAGAACCATCTAAGGTTTTTTTTAAATTTTCAGGAATAACAAGGTCTCTTAAAAATTCTGATACTGTAGGTAAATTCACATTTCTAATTTTTCTAATAGATTGATGAAGTGCATTGCGAGATGGAAGGTATGGATATACTTCTTGTGAAGTATTAGCTATTGTAGATTGAATAATTTGTACAGGTTTATCATTAGTTTATTGTGCACGTTCTTTTAATACATTAATAGTTTTTATAATGTTAACCTGACTGGCTTCTGCAGCATGATTGTGATCAGAAGCATGTTAAAGATAATGTTGATCTTCAATTAATTTAGTAGTTGTCCGCTCACGAAATTGTAGTAAATTACATTTTTCACAAGACCAGTAATATAAATTTCTTCGATTTTTGTCTTTAATCATAAATAACTATAAACATTAAGTTTATCTTTATTACGAATAAAAGGCATAACTTTACAGATAATATTATTCATTAAGAAAGTTAGATAAAATAATAAAGTAAAAAAATTGAAAAGAGAAGAGTTGTTTGATCTATGTTAAATAGGGGCTATCCTTAAATAATTAATATTTAGTTATCGGTAAAATGATCATATTAGTAAAATAATTATGTCAGTAAAGTAATTGTAGGTAAAGTGGTTATCAGTATAATGATCGTGTCAGTAAAATAATTGTTAGTAAAATGTTTGTCGATTAAATTAATGGGTCCCTATTATTTGTAATTAAGTTTGTCATCCGAATTCTTTAATTAAATTATTCATAATCTCGTCTTTCAAGTTTTTATACTTGACAGCTTTATTTAAGTCTAATGCATAAATTTAGTAAAGTTAAGAGTTAGGCGAATTCTAATATCTTGATCTTAGTAGACCGCAGTTAAAAATTTTAAGTAGAGACTTGATAACGTGACTACCTTGAGTTGAAGAATTCCATAGTGACAATATATGTATTTTAACAATAAATTATATATAGGTTTTATTTCTGTCTTATATTTTTCATATTCTGAAATTTTGATAATGTTCTTAAAATTATATGTTTTATCAATATAATATTCAGAATTCTATAGTTATTTTAACATATTAATCTAATATGCATCTCTAATAACTATATAACTTTGCTAATATAATAATTTTTTAATAAGTAAATATATTACTGTAGCTAATTATTTACTATAATTAGAATTTCTTCTTAAATATTAATTAGTTAATCTTTCACTAAAAAATAATATAGTAAATTGATTCTGAATAAGCATATTCTTTATTTTTTATATCTAAAAACTTTTCTCATAAGAAGTATAATCATCTCTTACCATTTTCCAAAATTATTTTGCCAATGATTTAAGTTTTTTCTTGTAATTTTTATAAGCCTATTGAATAGCTGTTGTATAAAAATTTTTAAAATAATAATTATAGTATTTAGGAATTAAAAAATCCTAAAATTGTTTTATTATTCTTTCTATACTCTTAAAAAAATATATGTATATGTATCAAAAAGTTTAAACAAATATAATAATAATTCAATAGGAAGAATAGAACCATTTATTATATTCTCTAATAATATTTTTTATAATGAGTTTGATTAAAAAATATTTTTTTTCATGATATTTAATTTCATTAAAAAAATATTCTTTTTTATTTTAAAATTAATTTCATCTAACTTTTGATATTTAATAATTGAATCAAAATATTCATATTAATATTCTTTTTTATATTTAAACATTTTTGAAATTTTGAAATTAATTTAATTTAGTTAATTAATTATAATAATATAATAAAATTAAAAAATAAAAATAAAAATTGTGTTTACAATTTTTGTCTCACTCTATCTTTCACTTCCTAATTAAATGCAATATCTCTAATTTCATTTCGTCTTTGATGATATTGGTACTGAATCCTAAAAATAAATATACATAATTCTTATAATTAGTAATACTAGAATTAAGATTTACTGTATCTGTGATTTATCAATTCTTTATCAACTTATACTAGTAAATATCACAATTCATTTTTTTATATCAAAGTTCCCATTGAGATACATACATTTTTATTATATATGTAAAAAATAAAGCATTACACGCATGATTACACTTAAAATTATTACAATTAATTTTTCCCACCCTATTCTTGTATACTCTGATCATTAAAAAATATATTTGATGAGAATGAAATGGTATCAGAAGTTCCTTTAGAACTTGATATTACTACAAGTATCACGTTATTTAATCTTAACACCAGTTACATATTAAGTATGAGTAAACAGGGCGTTATTAGTATAAAGTACACTTATATTTATATGAAACTGACATATAATATTTTTATTATTCTGATGTACATCACACACCCACACTATCTGCATTTAGCATACACAGTTAAGAAAAAAATAAAGCCCAGTGTGAGTGTAAACAATTATATTATTATACTAAAAATCAGATACAAATACAAATATATAAATACAAGTGTTCCAGTGCCAGAGTGATTGTGGTGAAGTAATCCTTATCATTATCACTTTCTCAAAGATAAAGTATTTACATTATAAAGAGCCAATATATTACATGTTATAGATTTTATTATAATCATATATTCATTATCGTCCATTTCGTCATAAACATTCTTTGTATGAACTATATCATCATTTGGCAAGTCATCGAAAAGTTTCTGAATCTTAACATGTCAAACTTTTTGTAGATCAGTTATATTCACTCAACCTCAATTTGATCAATCTAAGAATTCTAGCAGTATTGTGTTTGGACATGTCCCAGATGTGCTTGAGACAATTAAAACATAATATAGGATAGTCTTAAAATGCTTGGAATATGAAAAATGGATAACACTGAATTCTGATACCTACAAAAAAGAAAAAGGTAAATAATTATTTAATTTTTCTAATTAATTAAAATAATAACAAATATTACCTTTTCTTTATAGGACTCACTTTCGACCTGATTGATTCAAAACTACTGGTCTTACAAAAGAATAATGGTAAGTATTTTACTCTTTAGATTATTCTCTGTAAACGTTTACTAACTCACAAGCAAAATCTAATGTTTTATTACAATGCATCATTTTAACTATCATAATTTTTTTTCCTTCTTCAACTAAAAACTTTAATCTCATTACGTAAGTTCACTGCAATCATTTTCAAAATGATTTGCTTTATATTAGAATTTTTAACTATTTTCTTCAATTTAATAACCGCACAAATTTCTGCTTTTTTAATTAAGGCATCAACACTATGACTCTCCACTATGATTAAATTGCGTATGAAATAAAAACAGACTATCTTTGTACGTATTAAGAAAACCTTTTTCACTTACAACTTCGAAAGTAATAACATTTCTAGAAAGTATTTTTGCGAGATGTTCTTCAAGATAATTAAGTATATTTTTTATTGATATATAAAGCTTTTGGTGTGCTTAGACTAATTAAAAGTGGGTATATCTTTTCTTGATAGATTTCCATTATATTCCAAAGAGCTGAAAAAACTGTTAAATATGATACTTTTTTGATTTTTTCTTCCCTTAACTCATTGACTTTTTCTTATATCAAATTGATGACTTCCTTTCTCTCTTTCTTAAACTCCTTCTGCAATAACTTGATAATCTCAGTGATAGAAGATGAAAGATATAAGCCTTTTGCAGAAGACAACAAATTGAAAGACAATAAACGTTGGTATTAGATTTATATTAAGACTAGAATGACTATCAAAAATTAATGTTCACCGTGTTTATTACAGCTTACTTACTGATGGCAACAGTTGATAACGTGGATGTGTTTTTAGAGCAGATCAGTATATGATAGGAAAAGATGAATAAATTAGATATTTACCGATAGAAGATGCGACATTCTCTTTCTATTACTCTTACTGGACTTCTGTAACATGCAAAGAGAATATATAAGTAAAGATTCTTAATATAAGGAAGGTATATAGCAAACTTTAATCAAAGAATCTCAAAGTAAGATGCTCAACACGACACTAATGTGACTGGACGCTCTTTCTTATACACAAAGAGATAAGACATAGCATACTCACTATGCTCGTTAACATTTTCACATGTGTAAAACACTAACCTTTAACTAACGTCTTAATGTGAGCACCTTATAACCTTCTTTGATTTTCAGTTTTAGATTATTTTCTAGAGTCACCAATTCACCATCATCATGATGGGATTTACATTGAGAAGCTTTTTTAAAAAAAATGATCCTACGTCTTTACACTCCATTTTGTATAGAAATTCCACTGAAAAGTATCGAACTTGACCCTCCTCGTGGTATTAAGTTGAACTTCTTGCTGATTACTATATAAATAAACAATTGTTTTTACAATAAAGATCGGCAAGAGGGTCAAGGCAGAACTATGAGGAGGGTCAAATTTAATACTTTTGCAGTTCCACCAGTACTCTGAAATAAGATATAAAAATGTTAGAGTATTAAACATTAATAATAAGTGACAAATATGCTTATCACTATGAATGATTTTTTTTCAAAACTAACTCTACCAGCATAGAGAGCAAAAAAAATATCGAAAGCCAAAAAAAATAACAGAAACGCGTTTTTACATGGTAGAGTTTAAAAAATTTTTTAGTTCTGACGCAGAACACTAATGATCATCTGATTGTGTGTAACAGAAAAATATGCAAATGCCTGAAGTGGACGAAAATTTAAGAGTACGCAGGTCTTTGGCTATTTAATGCGAGTTTCAGAATCACATTATTTCTTTGCTCTCTCTTTTAAGAAAAACTCGAAGTAAATTCTTTATTGTGTTTTTGTAAAGTAATACATAAGAAAGGGCTGGCTGGCTAAGTAAAAATGAAATAAAAAATAATCGAATAGTGAAAGGCATAAAGAATACGCTTGCATGTTAAGCCTGCCCATATAATAGCAGTTCCTTTCCTGCTACTTAGTAGTATATATTTATATTTTCCTCACGGTAAAACCCCTTTATCATATCTTTCCCAATTACGTCTATCTCAAGTCTAAGAACATCAACCGATAGGTTAAAAAATCCCCTTCTTTCAAAATACCTTTTAATTATACTACCTGGGTACTTTGCAAATCTAAGTAAAAATAACTAGGGTAGTTTAATCAGTTCAGTAATTTAAAATAACTATTATCTAGTATTTTTATATTACTTAAAACCAACATTTATTTATATTAAAAGTTTTATTAAAAAAGGAACTTATAGTTTAATTATTTGTAATATTTTTATTTAATAATAATAAAAATTAACAATATTTATAAACTCCTTGACCATAATTATTTTAACTGTTTGGGTTTTGGGATTCGACACCCATAATCCCGATAGTTCAGAATCCTGACTCCAAAATCCCGACCTATATTTTTTTGTAAAAAAAAAAGACTATGGCGCAGCACTGATACAGTTTAAATACGATATATACTATAGTGATTAAATTTAGGATTAGGATTAGGTTCAGGATTAGGGTTAGGAAGATATATTTTTATAGTGTTAAATTAAAAAAATTTTCCATCCTTCCACCTAGGGTTTTTTTCGTGCTGGATTTTTTCGGGATTAACCTCATGAATTTTTTTATTTTGATCTGTATTAGATTACCGGATCTTATTTTAATTTGTATTTGGTTGTCGTGTATAATTTCAGGATTTTGACAGTCGAGATTATGTGCATTTCGGGATTAAAGACCATCAGGATTATGAACTATCGGGATTCTGGATTTTGGAATCGGGATTCTAAACTGTCGGGATTTGGGTATCAGGATACCTTATTTTATGTTACCTCCTCAATTAGAAAATTTTGATTTATATAATTGCTTTATATAAATATAAATTATCGTGACTTTTGAAGGAGCGTGAGTAAGAAAAATAAGACTTACGTAATATATTCTATGGAACTGATTATACAGAATTATAAATGTTTTTAGTTCAGCTAACCCAGCTTTTAATATATCAAACATAACAAAATTATTTATGAGATAATCATGATAGACACTAAAGGTTAAGAGGCTCAATTGTAATTTCTTCTCCAAAAATAGCACCAGAGATTCCAAGCATGGCCTAGCAAGATGCAAAAGAAAACAAAGATTAAGATATTTCTCGCTATTACTGATCATTGAAATGTATTTTCCATAAGAACCACAAGCTTGTCTGTGTAGATCGCTCCTTTTCATTGTCTGCTTCTAAGATCAAAAGAGCACATTGACCTCCTCCAACGCTATATAAAATTGCACCATCTGTTTCATGTGTAACTCCTGTTGAGTTAGCTTATATACCATCTCTTGATGACATTTATTAGAATAAACCTTGCAATACATTAAGATATTTCATTACTCCGTCCTCTCCACCTATTTTATAATATTCAAATTAACTTTTTCGCAGAAAGTCTCGCTTTGAAATTTCTGAATATTAATGGTATATAGATATAGGGATTTTTTGAACCATTTGGTCGGTAATTGCACATTGCATCGGGATCATATTTTTTTTATTTCACAATAACTTGATGGTGCATTAATATTTTCCACTTTCTTATTTTGGAATTTTGCTTGGCTCAACGTATCTTCTATTTTGAATGGTTTATTGAATACTGTAAAAGAAACATTAATTTAATTTTCAAAAGGTAAATACGAGATTTTACCTTCAATCTTACGTTTTATTCCTAAACAAATCATTTATTTGTCATAGGGGCAAAAGGATTGGAATAACCAATCAATATTTGTCTCACAGTGAAACCTGTTTTGTGATCATAATTCCTGAATGTCACATTATCACTGAACACAAAACTGTTGTCTTCAATGTGATGTGCAAAAAAAAAAATCCTGCAGGCAAATGCACTTAATTTCTTTGATCACATTGTTTCCTTTGAAAATTACTTTCAAAAGTTTTTTATGCCTATTTTCACCTGTTAATTGCTCTCAAATTATTCCAATTCATTAATAAAAGAATACTTGGTGTTAATTTACACCCGCAGCTTTAAAATTTAATTAACTAATTATTTCAATAAAAGAGCAATTGTCACCTGATCTGACTTTGTTTTTCTTCACTTCCCTTACAAACAAGCAACACAGACTCAAACATAATAGTTAACATTTTTTTTTATTGGAATCTTCACAGCATATGAATGGGAACCCGAAATATATTTTTTTTTTATAAAATAAGAATATTTATATAAGCACCAAATGACAGAAGTTGATTTTGTCGATAACGTGCTTCTCGCATTAAAGGGAAATAGTATGTTTTGCTCAATTTTTTGTTTTTTGGTTTTTTTTTTTTAAATAAGCTCATGTATAATAAAAACCTTTACACTAAAGTATTATTTCCTCCTTCGGATATTGCATTATTCCTAAAAAAAATAATTTTATATAAAAGACACGGAGAAAAAAATTGAAGCGATAACGAAATTAGAAGACGAATTGTTGGAGGAAACTCCGCTAGAGGTTAGTAAAACTTATTAATTAGATTTTTGTTTTAAATATCAAATCAGTTGTCAAAAAGGAAGTACTTCAATTTTATCCAAATCGATATTTTTTATACTATTTATATTAAAGAAATATGTTGATGAACTATCTATATACTTATTATTATTTTTTATTTTTTTATCTAGCCGCAAGTAATTAGTCAACTTGTACCTGCCTTAAGAGATGCTCTTAAAGGCTCTCAACAACAAGTTTCATATGTAGCGCTTATATGTCTGAACCCTTTTATATCTTTAATAGCTGAATCACATCCAACATTTCTTAAGAATGTTGTTGTAGCTTTTGCAGCGGCTGTTATAGATAAGTTAGGGGATACTAGAGACAAAGCAAGAGATGCAGCATTAAACGTTTTATTGACAATGTGGATTTCAGCGGCCAATGGCGGTAATGTAATCACGGCACCATTAGTAACCATAATCAAAGAAACTGCCTTTGAGCATAAACAGTGGAGAGCTCGCGAACAGGTGAATTCTTGGATAATTTCTTGGATATTTTAATAAACAATTTCTTACATATTTGCATTACTGCCAGATTTTACAATGGATAGTAAATTGTACTAGAAGAGTTTCGGATTTTTCCATAAAACAATGGGTGCCATATATGGTAAAATTATTGGAAGATCCTCATGAGCAAGTGAGAGAAACTGCAAAAGATAGAATAGTTTTACTTTTCAGGTGGGAATATTGTTTTTGTTAATATGTTTCGTCAAGTTTGCTCGATCTAATGTAACTTCCCAATTTACAGTGGCGCGGCAGCACACGCTAAGTTAGATCTTAAACGTGAACTCGAGAAGCAGTCAGTGCGAGCTGCAATAACGGAATATATTTTATCAAAAATGGGCTCTAATTATGGTGAGGCGAATGACATAGAAACTTTTCCAGATAATATGACAGAGCCTATAGAGGAAGATTATATGAGCGTTGGTACTCCGAATGAAGAAACATCAAGATCAATAGGATCTAATAGACCTTCTAGTTCAGCAGATGAAATTGGAATAATGCGTGTAAGTAAAATAATCGCATCTAATTGCGTTTCAACAATTATTATCAAATCAAAAATTTATCATTCTTATTTAGATCGAAAGTGCAAAAGAACTGGAAAAAGAGTTTCAAAATTTATTGACACCATTCTCAGGAAAAGAATCCGAACAAAATTGGTTAATTCGTGAGAGAAATATTAATAAATTGAGATCTTTGACAAGAGGAGATGCAGCATCACAATATCCAGATGCATTCATAAATGGTTTGAAATTAATTATGAGTGGTATTCTTACATCAGTACGTTAAGTGTTTAATTATTTATCATCGTTTATTATTTGTATTAAGTAACGTAAAACTTAAACTTTCTCAATATTATGTTTTCCTTAAATTTTCAATTTTTGGGGTGATAACGAAATCGTTAGCTCACAAGTTTACGTACAACGCTTACTTTAGCTGCAAGTGGATTAATCAAAGATTTAGTATCACACCTAGGAACAAACATGGACCCTTTCGCAGATAATTTGCTTGCAAATTTATTAAAGATGGTTCAATCAACAAAAAAAATAGTGGCACAAGCTGCTGCAAACTCCGCAAATTCTTTATTCCAATATTGTTCATATCATGCTAGACTTGTTACTCAACTTTGGCATGCAATGGAAGAAAAGAACATTCAATTACGAGCTTATACTATTGGGTTTGTGAAGACAGTTATTCAAACACATGCTGATCGAAGGGACACAATGGAACGAACCGGTGGTGTTGAATCTCTAGAAAAGTGTGTCCGAAAGGGCTTAACTGATGCTGCACCTAAAGTGAGAGAAGGATGTCGCGAAGTATTTTGGACATTTTATGAAGTCTGGCCAGATAGAGGAGAAAAGTATGTCATTTTGTTACAACGTATTTTCATTATAGTTCAAATTAAAAGTTTAATCTGGCTAAAATACGTATAGGATTTTGAAAATTTTGGAACCTGCGGTAAAAAAAAAGCTAGAGCGCGATCGACCAAGAAATATGTCATTAACACCCTTATCATCAACATCATCACAACCGAGACGATCCACTACACCTGCTCCAAAAAGTCGAGCTAGATCTTCGAGTATTGGTAAATCACGACGACCTAGTATTCCATCTGATAGTGGTGCTAGTGATAATTATTCAATGTCGAAATCGCCAGTAAGTAATCCATCTACTTTACGTTCGAAATCGCCCGCACCACCCTCCATGAGAAGTAAATCCACAACACCAAAATCTCCCATGAAGTCTTCACCAATCAAAAATGGTTCACCTAATTCAACACAGATATCAAATATACAACCTAGAAAACTGACAATTGTTGAACAATTAGAACATAATGATTGGACTACTCGAGTCGAAGGACTATTCAATGTGGCTCAATTAGTTGTAAAAAGGTCATTAGAACCAACTTCAGCAAACAAAACGGGATATGATTTCAAAAAATCGCCACTTCCTCCAGATGAAGAATTAGGTCCAATATTACTTAATGTGTTGAACGATCAAAATCCTAAGGTTATTGAAAACTTTTTGGCCCCTAACGTTATTACCGAAATGGCGAGGGTGATTCGTCTCGAAAACTTAATACCAAGACTTATATTATTTGCTAATGATGATAATAAATCGGAACAATCGATGATAATTCAAAATCTTTTTCCTGGGGTGAAGAATGCTATCGGAACCGAACATGCTCTTTTGGGTTTGAATAAATGTCTATTATTATTAACCAATTCCGGAACAACATCGAAAAAGTCATCCTTTGTATATACACTACCACAAAAACGTAAAATTTTAAATGGAATTTTATTGTGGTTTAATGAAATAATTGAACCAAAATTAGAGCTAGTTGAAAATGATCAAGAGCTTACTGGGTTTTTAGGAGATGTCGATAAATACAACCTCCTTACAAAACGACTTATTCCACTAGTCAATAATACTAAGGAATCATCAGAAAATTACGAGCCTCTCAGTAGATTATTGATAAATTTGCATAAACTAGATCCTGATGCATTTGAAACCATCTTATTTTCTTTCGAAGGTAAAGTAGTAGATTTAGTGGGTAATATGGTTGGATGGGAAGAAGAACTGGAGGAAGCCGAAGAAGAAGTTTTAGCTGAAGAGGAAGCAAAATTAAAAGAAGAACAAGAACGGGAATGGGAACAACAGCAGGTAGAAAGGAGGAATCAGTTGGCATTATTGCAACAACAACAACAAGAGCAATTCGAAAAACAACAACGTGAGAGAGAATTAAGAAAACAACGTGAACGTGAAGCACAATTACGACGTGAACGTGAAGCACAGGAACAACGTGAGCGTGAACTACAGTTGCAAAAAGAGCGTGAAGAGCAGCAACAACGCGAGCATGAATTACAACAACAACGGCTGCGTGAGTTACAGCAGCAAAGAGAGCAGAAGCAACAAGAACGCGAATTGCAAAAACAAAAGGAGCGAGAATTACAAAAACAAAGAGATCTTGAATTTCAACAGCAACAACGCGAATTTGAGTTGCAGCAACAACGCGAGTTCGAGTTGCAGCAACAACGCGAGTTCGAGTTACAGCAACAACGCGAATTCGAGTTACAGCAACAGCGTGAAATTGAAATACAACAACAGCGTGAACTTGAATTGCAGCATCAACGTGAATTAGAACTTCAAAAACAACGCGAATTTGAACAGCGAGAAATTGAACTTCAACAAGAACGCGAATATGAACTTCAACAGCGTGAACTCGAAATACAACAGCAACGCGAAGCTGAATTACAACGACAGCACGAAATTGAATTGCATAAGCAACATGAATATGAATTACGTGAGCGTGAATACGAAAGAGAAATGCAGGCACATTTATACGCTCATAGGCCTCCTCCGTTGCAACTTCAATCGTCAAATAAATTTTCGTCCCAAAATTCACCACTCTCTCAAAAAACTATGATCAAAGATAACATTAACGATTGGGTGGAAAATCAGAGGGTACCACATTTATCGCAGAGAGACGATGATTTAAGAAACTCTAAAGAAAAGGATATTTTAAGGGAACAAGAATGGGCACGGAAAAATCGACCAAAAACAGCTGAACCTCATTGGCTTGATCCACGTCCAAGAGATATTGATAGAGTAAGAAGAGCAAAAACTCCAACAAGAGAGAATGAATATGAAAGGCGAATGTATAGAGAAAATGGTAATTGGGATGAAAGGGAAAGACTCATGTCTAGGGATATTGATATGTATGAAAAGGATGATATATATGATGATAGGCGAAGAGAATTTGAATTGAATGAGAGGGGTAGGCGACCACTAAATGATGAAAGAAGCCGAATGATCAGGGACAAAACTCCCTATAAGGAAAATAGTTGGAATGAAAAGGATAGGCGTATGACTAGAGAATATGAATATGATGAAAGAGATAGGCGAGTTCCCAGAGAGTATGATATAAATGACAAGAATCAACGATTCTTAAAAGATTCTCATGAAGACGAACTGGATGGAAGAGATAGACGCCCTTTCCCTAGAGGTTCTAACCAGAACGATTTTGATGAAAGATTAGGTGGAAGACGTTCACTTAAAAAGACAAAATCAACTGATTGGGACGATAAAAATGGACGACCTATCCGCAAAGAGCGGGATATAAGAGATAATGAATGGGATGATGTTAGTAGTCGATCTTCAGGAAAAGAGAGAGATAATGATTGGGAAGAAAGAAGTGTTCGATCAATACCTAGAGACTTGAGAGAAGGAGATTTTGATGAAAAGTTAAGTCAACATTCTTCAAGGGATAAAAGAGACCAAGAATGGGATGATAGAATGCATAGGCTTCGACCAAGAGAATCAAGGGAGAGCTTGGAAGGTAAAAATACTAGGCCATCGCCTAGATTTCCTAAAGATAATGACTCTGATGAAAGGAGTTTAAAGGCATCACCGAGGGATCCACGTAAAAATGATTGGGATGAAAGAAATGCTTATCGTGATAATGGCTATTCAAATAACAAGGCACCTGTAAGAGGTCCTGAATGGAGCGATAAGGGTAGATACAGGTCAAGAGATAGTGATTGGACTGAGAGCACAGATAGACAAAGTGAAGCTCATGAGGAGGATGGAGATACTATAAGCGAATTTGACTTAACTCAGCCTGAGAAATCGAATATCAAGGAAAGAGATCATAATAGTAAGCCAGTAGATCGAGTTGTATCGTTACCGCCGCCTCCACATGATTTAGGATATCCAGAATTTGATGATAAAGATCCCGAGCTTGCAAATTTGAAACAACTTGTAGAAAAATTGGATATGGAGGAGGAAGAAGATATAAATGATGTAAAGCATTTTTTTACTTTAATTTTGTTAATTCGAGTTAACCTTATTAATAATTAAATATTGCAACATTAGGAAAATGTCCCGGAAAATTTTGCTGACATGACAATAAGTCGACCAGACAGTATTTATATTTCTGAAGCCGTATGGACTCAGTTAGAGAATACAATGAATGGCAACATGAACAATCCATTCTACTTGAATCCTGAAGAACGGTTCAAAAGTGATAATAATGTGGTAGATGTAAAATTAGCACCAATTCAAGAAGACGAAGTGCCTGAAGTGCCTGAATCGACACATGTTGAAGAGAAATCCAAATCTCTTGACGATGAGTCGTCTCAGGTAACGATGGATAACGATCTTCCAAAACGAATATTACAGTCAACTGTTTCAGAAACAGTCACTGAAAATTCTTCAAAGTCGGACTTACCAAATACAGTTTCGGAGATAATAGAAGAAAAATCTGACAAATCAGTTCTTTCATCGATAAATACCGAATCTATTCCAGAAGAACCATCTCCTACTAATATGCCTATAAGTAATGTCTCCGCATCTGAATTACCATTACCTGCATCACCAGTTTCCTCAGTGGGTAGTGGTAGTTCAATATCTGGTGCACGGGATAGAGCTTTAAAAAGAGCTGAACGTCAGTATAATCTTTTTTTTTTTCCCATAAAAAAATTGTTATCAAATGGACTTATTTATATAAAATTTATCATTATTATCACAGGATTTAATTCTGGTTCACCTCTTCCTGGTGCTGCTCAAGAGAGACGTTTATTGCTTGCGACATTGTTGGCACGTTTGCATGGTTATGATACAGACGTTCACCTGTTTCGTAAACTTATCAGAATATCTAAAGAAACGCAATTCTCAAATAGGGAATTGGCAGAAGATATATGGGAAAATGGCGATCGATTTATTGAACTAATGAATGCATTAATAGGATTTTTGAGTGATTCAGAACAGGTATTTGTCATTAATGTTTGTTTTTGTATAATTAACTTGTTACTATAAATTATTGATTTGATTTAACGATTTAAGCAAAATAATGAATTGAGAGAAGGAGCAGTAATGCTACTTGGACAATTGATTAATAATCAACCTGATTACACCAGGGGTCAGGAAAGAGATATATTACGCATTTTATTAGAATGTCGGGCTGATTCAGCGTCGAATGTGAGTTATCACACTTATTTACAAGTCACTAAAGATATTTGTTATAAAGGTTATTCGATAATCATATGTCTATATTTCCTTTTTAGATATGTGGACATGCAGATGATACTTTAGATAATTATATTCAAATAGTAGATGCTAATGTCGGATTATATGCATTAATTGATATAATGGAATCGAGTTTATTTAACACATTTGGAAGCGTACCATTACCTGGTAATAGCCCTTCACAATTCGGCTCAAAGACAAGCATGAAAGGGTCTGCATTTGTAGTTTTATCAAAATTGGTTAAAAGGTTCGATAAGAGGTCATTAGAAAGACAAGTTGGACGTGTCGTGCCGTTAGCTATTAAGGTATGGACGTTATATTTTTTGTTTTGTTTGTCCACAATATTAATAATTATTATTTTCGTATATAGGGATTTAGTGATCCAAAACCTGAAATTCGAAAATCAGTAGTCGATTCACTTGTTGCAATATATTCAATAATAGGGGATGACAATACATTGTTCCAGTATCTTGGTAGTTTAAACGCGGCTCAACTAAACCTTCTAAACTATTATTTTGATAAAAGTCGAAAACAGCGAAGAGCCACATCATCACCTGGACGAGGAGTTCGCGTATAATAAAAATATGAATAAAATTATCTAATTTTTTACCCTTTTTAGTAACCCAATATATAGATATATATAATTTATTATTTAAAAAAGTTTAAAATTATTATTTAAAAAGTATTATTTATAAATTGAGATGTATTTTTAAATAAGACAAATATGTAATAATATTTTCAGACATGTATCTCAGCTTTGTTTGTATTATTGGAACATATTTTTCATTTAATAGATAGCAAGGTGGGTATAGCTCTAATAATTAAGTAAAAAACAAAAAAAAAAAAATATAATGGAAAAAATAATTTATTATTTATAGTAATAAGACATTAGATAGGGGGTTTTTTTTTCCAAAAAAAATATCCTAATTTATTGATTCAAAAATCAGGTATATCTCTTAGTGTTTAATGAATGAAGAAACCGATTAACAATATTATGATTGATTGTAAATTGTGATAACTTTATTTACCGAACTTTTGGGTTTGAGATTTTTGACTCGTTCATACCATTATTTCATCATCCGAATTTCTTTGTAAAATACGAAATCAAAAATAGCTTTGCATAAAATGAGAGTTTCCAATAGGAAGATTTATAATATACTATATAATATATATATGTATAATCTATAACCTTTTTCTCTTTCTATTAATAAATAATATTAATTAACAGATATAAATAAAGTTAATATTAATTTTATACTAATTAATTAATTATCGTAGAGTAGAAAAGAGTCCTATTTATTTTCCTATTCGAAACCTGTATTATTATAATACATATTTTTTTTATGTTACTTATTTTATTTTTGAATCAAATACCCATAAAGTCCCGACTAATGATCATCAAAACACTTGCAATCTTTATTCTTTTTTGGTTATGATTTGCTGACAAGAATTACTCGCGAATTTAAAGTAATCAGTAATAGTATTCTAAATACTAATCTAAATCTACTCCTAATCCTACTCTTACTCTTATTCCTACTCCTATTCTATTCCTATTCGGAATCCTTGTAGAAGCCTACCCTCCTTCTCAACGAATCTATATTCTATTTATAACTATTTTTTTAATCCACGTAAAAAACTCCATTTCCTTAAATGTATAAATTATATTATGTAACATAAATGATATCATTAATTAAGCATTTCCTTAAATGGTTATTTTTTCACACTTCTTTTTTCCAATAATAAATTAGATTTTTTGTTCATTTTTTTCTTTCGAAATCATACCATCTAACTTACAGGTTTAAATTTTCATTTATTTCTTAAATGTATTCTTATTCGTGCTTTATTTTTCTCCAAAAAAAGATAAATAGATTCTTTCTCTTGAAAAAATCAAGTTAACATTTTTTTTCTTCTGAAATTTCACGAGAAAAGAAATTTTTTTTCCTATCAAATTTCCCGAACGATCTGATCTTTTTTTTGTAAATAATAAATGAAACTTCCCTCCAAATTTCCATATACAAAAGAAAAAAAAACTTTTTTTGCAAACAAACAAATCAAGTTAAAAAAAAACTTATTTTCTGAATTTTATAAGTAAACGAACATCATAATTAAAATTTTGCTTGGAGATTCTGTAAACAATTTAATTTATCCTTCCAAATCTTACGAGAAAAAAAATTTTTTCCTTCCAATTTCATAAAAAAATACTTCTGAATTTTACATTTTAAGATTTTCCAAAAGAAATTAAATTTAAAAAAAAATCTCTTTTTATATAAATCCTCTAATTTTTTTTTTAAAAAAGATTATGATCAATCAATCTTATCTCCTTAACTTCTTTTTTTTCTTAAAAAAATAGATTTAAAATCATGCTGGTAAAACTTAATACAATAATCTATATTCATACCATGACGGAAAGAATAGCATCAGAGTATACAATCAAGAAAATGACTGGGATTACACATTTAAATTCCAATAAAAAATTTGATATAAAAATTCCATAAAAATATAAAGTTTTATAACGTATAATTTTTATGGAATTTTAGTATAATATATACGTTTTTTCCTTAAGTAAAAATCTTAAACTTAATACAGAAAAGTGGGAAAAAACATATACAAAAATCACAGACAAAACGTATATCTTATAATGCTTTAACGGATGCAAAAATCACAGACAAAACGTATATTTTATAATGCTTTAACGGATGCAAAAATCACAGACAAAACGTATATCTTATAATGTTTTAACAGATGCAAAAATCACAGATAAAACATATATCTTATAATGCTTTAACGGATGCAAAAATCACAGACAAAACATATATCTTATAATACTTTAACGGATGCAAAAATTATAAACAAAACGTATATCTTTTAATGCTTTAACAGATGCAAAAATCATGGATAAAACATATATTTTATAATGCTTTAACAGATGCAAAAATCACAGATAAAACGTATATCTTATAATGCTTTAACAGATGCAAAAATCATGGACAAAATGTATATCTTATAATGCTTTAATGGATGCAAAAAACCATATACTTAATATGGAAAAGTGGGAAAAAACGTATACAAAAAATAAAGAAAAAACATAGATCTTATAATACTTTAACAAATGCAAAAATTATGGATAAAACAGATATTTTATAATGCTTTAACAGATGCAAAATCATGGATAAAACATATATTTTTATATGCTTTAATTAAACAATTTAGATTTTATTAATATAATAAAAATTTAAAAATTTAAAAAAAAAAATAGAAATTAAAAAAAATTAAAAAATCAATATTTTTTAAATTTTTCACTTTTTGCACTTCTTGTTCTTTTTTGTAATATTTCTTTTAATATAAATTAATCAAAATAAATATAAAAAAATGAGTATTATAAATTTGTAAAAAAAAAAAGATAAATTTCTTACCTTTTTTATTTTCATTAATTGAATCTTTATTTTCTTTTTCTTTAATATTTGTTAATATAAAGTTAATATAAAAATTATCATTTATATAGTGAATTAATAAGAATTTCATTTTACCTAAATTTTTATCATAAGATAAATTAAATTTTACATTAGAATTGGAGGTAATGCTGAAAGTAATGCTGGTTTCACTAGCTTCATTATTGGTATTGGCTTCACTTTCATTTTTTTTTTTTGTTTTAATATTAATTAATTTAAGAATTTTTATTATTATGTATTAAAAATAAAAATTTAAAAGTTACCTAAA